TCAGCTATTCTTCTCCACAACAGTTGTTGACCACAGAGGAAGTTGATAAAGCATTCTTCAGACATAGCCTAACGTTGGCAACTTTGTTTGGCAGCATTAGAAGTCGTCTTGATCACAGAATCATGTTCATCTTTTCAACACTTGATCAGTATGCGTGCAGTCCCTGGCACAGGTGCTAAATGATGGTCCATCACCTCTTTCCAGGCTGTAGAACATTTCATTTATGCCAACACTTTAATGACATTTACATATTTCATCTTGGATCTGGAAGCAGCTTGTGAGTGAAGTCAACATTCATGGCATTTAGAGAAAAGGTTAAATACTCCTTTTGAGTCAGGGCCATTTGAATATTTAGTCCAGAGTTCAGAATTAATAATGTATTGTGCATTATTCTTCTCCAGCAAAAGAAACCTAAGTTTATCCATTTTCATCTGCCTATCTAGCTTATGGTTTTACAAATAGGCTTTTGGAGTAGGATGAATTTAGAATGCTTTTATAGTATTTATTTCTAAGTGTATTACTTGTACTAGTATGTGAATATTTTAGTTCTTGCTGTCATTCTGTTGTTCACAACTGTTGTAGTGACTATTTTTTCCCTCTAGTTATTTATTGGCTGTATTTCATATTTAGCACAGTACTTCATGATGGCTTTTTTGGGGGTCAGAGAACCTGGATTTTTCTATGTATGTGAGACCGTAAAATTGAGTAGAACTCTGATTTGTAATTATTATTTTCAGCTTGTTTGGTAGGGTCTCCTCATTACAGCTTGAATACTTTTTTCCCCCACTGTCCTACTGAAAAGTGTTGAATTCCATAGGGTGGCTGCTTCTCATGGAAAATAGTTATCTGTAAAAAACAATTGTTGGAACAATCCAAACTTAAATAATTTGCAGTGATGGCTTATTTTTAGTCAAAAAGATTATGACTGATAAATAAAGAAGTGAAATAGAAAGTTGCTAGATTATAAATTAATTCATCATTCTAAATTAGTGAAAAATATCAGGTTATAGTACTACATCAGTGCACTTTAATCTAAAAACGTTTGTTATTAAAGTTACTCCTGTCCATCTTGATGAACATTTGGAGAAAGCATTATGCAGGCCGACCATGAGTACATAGCTAGTATTGACCTACACTGTGCTGTTAGATTCTGTATTTGAGTCAAAAAACCATATTTTCTAATCAAGATATTCTATATCTATAGCAGATTATAATTTATTATTTGGGATTTTCTTGTGTAGGTTTCGCAGTTCCAAGATAACAGACCCACTTTCCTTTAAACAGCATGTCCTGAAAAGTGACTAATTATTGATTTAGTGAAATGAGAGGAGCAGCTGGGTGGACGGTTATGTTAGGCTGTCATGTGGGTTTGACTCTCCAATCAGGTGATAGGTTTTTCTGTCCATGGCGACACTACTATCTGCACAGCTCTTAAATCCCGGGCTCATTACTCACTGGTCTTCACTGCCCTAAAAGGTGGTAAAAACCGACAGTAGTGACTGAAATTGGACGTTTTGGGCCGAAAAGCACAGAAACTGCAGTGTAGCAGTTCATCACAACATTATCTGCTAATCACTATTTCAACTGCAAATACAGAAGTATTTATAATCTGGGGAATACTTAAATCAGTTCACTGAGTTAAGCTTCCATCTAAACTGCCTAGTCTCTTGTCAGGACCAGAGGGATGCAACCTGTTGCCAGCATCACAACAACTCTGAACTGGTTGAGGTGCTTGATCAGCTATGATGTACTGCTGATCACCAAGGCGGTCAAATCAAACATCGCTGGTGCATTAAGTTATGTTTGGTTGGGTCTGCGGTCTCATGCATAAAGTGAAGCAAATGCCCAGCAGCAAAAGTGGCTTTAGACTGAGATCCACAATTTCTTTTGGGTGGTGCTGCATAAGTCATGTAAGAATGAAATTTATTTTTTCAAGGAAACTGTCAGAATGGTTCCGCATACATCCTGGTTCATACTGTTTGGGTCAAGGAGCTGTCAGAATGGTTCCGCATACATCCTGATTCATACAGTTTGGGTCAAGGAGCTGTCAGAAGATTCAGCATACATCCTGGTTCAAACAGTTTGGGTCAGAAACTGTCAGAATGGTTCAGCATACATCCTAGTTCATGAGGTTTGGGTCAAGAAGCTGTCAGAATGGTTCAGCATACATCATGTTCATGCAGCCTTGGTCAAGGAGCTGTCAAAATGGTCCAGCACACATCATGGTTCAGCATACATCATGGTTCATACAGTTTTGGGTCAAGGAGCTGTCAGAATGGTTCACAATACACCATGTTCATACAGTTTGGGTCAAGGAGCCGTCAGAATGGTTCACAATACACCATGTTCATACAGTTTGGGTCAAGGAGCTGTCAGAATGGTCCAGCGTATATCATGTTCACACAGCCTGGGTCAAGGAGCTGTCAAAATGGTCCAGCATACATCATGGTTCAGCATAACATCATGGTTCATACAGTTTTGGGTCAAGGAGCTGTCAGAATGGTTCAGCATAACATCATGTTCATACAGCCTGGGTCAAGGAGCTGTCAGAATGGTCCAGCGTATATCATGTTCACACAGCCTGGGTCAAGGAGCTGTCAGAATGGTCCAGCGTATATCATATTCATATAGCCTGGGTCAAGTAGCTGTCGGAATGGTCCAGCGTATATTATGTTCATACAGTTTGGGTCATGAAGCTATCATAATGGTACAGTAGGGTCAGGTAGCTATCAGAATGATACAACATGAATCTGAGAGTGTCAGAATTATACAGCCTGAACCAGAGTGTGACTGTCAGATTGGCATAACTCGGATCAGGGATCTATCCGACTGGTGTAATTTAGATCAAAATTTAACAGTATAAGGCAGCATTAATTAGGGAACAATCAGAATAATAGATCATCAGAAGCTCTGTCAGAAGGGTTTAGCATGGACCAGGGGAACTCTGTCAGAAGGGTTTAGCATGGACCAGGGGAACTCTGTCAGAAGGGTTTAGCATGGACCAGGGGAACTCTGTCAGAAGGGTTTAGCATGGACCAGGGGAACTCTGTCAGAAGGGTTTAGCATGGACCAGGGGAACTCTGTCAGAAGGGTTTAGCATGGACCAGGGGAACTCTGTCGGAAGGGTTTAGCATGGACCAGGGGAACTCTGTCAGAAGGGTTTAGCATGGACCAGGGGTGTCAGAATGGTATAGCTGGATAACTCCTGCCAAAGAATGCAGCACGTTTTTATGCATTCATAAGATTTCTACAGCATTGGTTTAAGAAATGGTTGGAATGTGCCGCACATTTGTATGCAGATGAAGCCTAGCAACAGAGGTTGTGGAATACATACAGTCTCTTAATCAGGGTGACCCAGCAGAAATGGATGATTATGCAAGCTGATCTTATACCAATCAATAATAATAAGAAGTACTTATAGAACTAAGTGGGAATCAGAGCATCCAGGTCATCAGCATCTTACACATAATTAACATACATTCTTCAGAAGAGCTATATTCGTCCTAAACCTTCATCTTTTGATTTAAAAAAACAAAAAAGACGACAACACTATGAAAGTACATACAAGATAAAATTGAGTTCTGCTTGTGAAAATTATTTTCGGGTTGGCATTACCTCCTGCTGCATTCTCTTCAGACAGTGGCAATCTATTTTTTCCTCTGCACTGTTCACCTGCTCCTAAAGCTACCGACTTCATCTAGCTTGTCATGCATCATTTTACGCCAAATGGTGCAGAACCAGCCAGTCTGTCTGCCGGTTTGTTCCCCAACACACCAGAGTGCTGTGTGGAAAATGTCCAAAGGATACTAACTACCCGGGACCTCTAAAGTGATGCTTGCCACTCTTTTTACTTATGTGCCCATATCAACATACTACCACATCGACCCGACCCATTCATGCACTGTCCTCTGATGCAGCAGCCATCTCAGTGTCTGTGCTCAGTGTACCCAGTAGGAGTTGATTGGCATATCTTCTTTCTTTGCCCCACAACAAGCTTCTGCGTGCTTACCACTCTGCACAGAGCATACCTGTCTCAACATGCTCTACTCTTAGTTTACTCTGAGCAGGTTAGGTTTTTAAGCAACATTTTAACATCTCTGAAAGTAATAACTTTATTGTAATTGAGGTCTAGATAAGATGTGTCCTTTTTCCATGTCTGCAGTGACATTTCTTCTCTGTATACTGCTTATTTCAAGGTAGCTTTAATATCTTTACAATTCTAGTGTTTTCTGAGCTCAGTTTATTGTTGTGTTATAATTCATTTAAAAGCTGTTGAGTGTATTCTCTACTCTTTATCTGTCTGAGTTATGCCTGAATAAGATAACGCAGGAGAAGGTAAGTAGGTGATCAAGGTGTCTACTGTGCCATTTGAAGTACATCGTTGACAGATTCTAGGAGACAGTCATACATGTCAGAATCACTTCAGCCTACATTGTGTTTCTTTGTGGATTGAAAGAATGCCAGATTTTACAGCTTCAAGCAACTATGCAGTCCACCAGCTTTGGCCGTCTGTTCACTGTCTGCAACACAAAAAAGTATGAATTATTGGACAGATAAAAGATGCAGCTGAAACCTGCAAAAAAGAGAAACAAACCCATCACCCAAGCCACCAGAGAAGTACAAGACAGATGCAGAAAACCACAACACGACAACTACAGCATAATATTAGCGAGACGACAAAAGAAGAAGAAGATTCATTGTCTACATCGAATGAGCACTTCAACAGCTATTCTGGGAAAAGTACTCAATTCTGCACAGGCATTTAATGGATGATATCATCACAGTTTTTTAGTATTTTTGTTTTTTAATTTTCAACGGAAACATCAGCAGCTCTTACGAAATCTGAAAACAGGAAAGAGCATCAAAGTCTGCACAGCCATCATGGATGATGCCGTCACAGTTTTTCCATACATTTTATCACGCACGTGCATGTGTGCAAAATATGGAGAAAGCTGTGCCATCGTCCTCAGTGAAGCTGCATGTTCAATACCATTTTTCAGCACCTCTGTGGAACAGACCAAAAGTGGAAGAATTATTGACAGTTCACAATATGCCAGAAGGCATTCCTCTAGATTTCCTCAAGCTTATAATTCCAGATGCTCTGTCAGTGGAAATGGATGACAAGAAACAGAAATTCACGCAAAAAGGAAGGTAGGTACATTGTCCGCTTATATAGGCTTTTTCCAGGTGATTGTTACTGAACCTGTGTTTTCTTTCTGCTTTCCATTCAGTAGAAGTAAATTTATGTATAAAATGTCGTCTCCTAGTTAGAATGCGATAGCTGCAACAGTAAATTTGGGAAGAAATGAAAATTTGCACAGATAAACATCACACATCTGTTGTGAATCTTCTGCGCGCCATTGAGTTTATTGAAGTTTATAATATTCAGGGCACTCATATGTATAACTCTTATTTTACTTGGTTAGCTGATAACACAGAAATCAGAATCGTTCATGATTATTTTAGTCACTGTCAGAATCAAGTCTGTTGATCTTTAGTGTTTTACATTTCTTTTTAAATATTGTAAATATAATTTAAATTTGTTCCATGTATCACCAAATGGGAAAGATTGCACGACACTGTGCCCCCACCTAATGTGTGTCAACACCCCAGTCAAGGTCTGATGTCAATTGTCAGGTGCCAGGAAACCTGTTCTACACTGATAGATGTGACCTAACAGATGGCATTGAAATATTGTGGAATTTCAGATCCAGTTCCCCTTTTGGGTTCCGGAGCCTCATTTTTTTTAGGACGAGAATAGACCCACCCCCCCCCCCCCCCCCCCCCCCCAATTCGAAGTAGGAATACATCTGCCTGATAAGTGAGGAACCAACAGTCTGCATATTTTATGACCAGATTTGATTTGAGCTCAAGAAGAAGATGAATGTATAACATTAACAACAAACCCTCTACACAAGAATGACGAGAGTCAGTGTTACACATCTTAGGCATGATCACCAAACAGCTTCCCACAACAGTTAATGGCAGAAGTGGCAACTGATGATGATGAAGATGACAACTTTACATAGAAGGCCCAAATACAGACAGTGACAGTGAAAACTATGTGATGGTGACTTGCTACCATCAGCTGTAGAAGCACATGATGTGTCCATAACCGGTCATCTTATCTTCTCTCATAATCTCTTATATAATTAGGGATCCCTACTGCACACTGTGGGACTTGTTTCCATATGTTTATTTCTTGCAGTGTGTTAGTTTCTGACAGTGTTTTCTGTCCATATCTGAATATTATCTGTTATATTTTTGGGATTTCTCATCCCCTTTTCATTGGAATGTTCTAGTATGTTTAGTGTTGGACAACCTAGTTAATCCTGATATATGACCACCATGTGACTGTAGACTGCCTTATTTTCATATGTTGTCTGAGGAGGTTCTGTGCAGGGACTTGTGAGACATGATCGTTATGTAATGTCGAACATGAACATGGGAGATGGAAAGGTGCCAAACCACATGTGCTGGCGCACCTTGGCTAGGGCTGATACTGGTCAGCACCTACCTATACTTGTCTGGTGATCCTAGAAATATGTTCCGTACTGTGAACTTAGCCATCTTAGATAGAGTCAGTGTTTTTTTTAGAGTTGGAGTGCATCCGCTTGAAATACACAGCTGTCTTCACACAAATAAGCCAGATCTGTAAAATGATTGTACATGCAGTAATCAAGTCCTGACTAAAGCCTTGAAAAAAGGGGGGGGGGGGGAGAAAACAACCAGGACTTTACACCAGAGTTTACTGCCAGTAAGCGTGAAGATTAACACTGAGACATTTCATCTCCATGTCTTGTTCGATGGATAGCTGCTGCACTGTTCCAAAGGAAGGCGGTTCTCCGATGTGGTTTTTGGTCCTCTCAGCCAAAAACAGTCAGTGCAGGCCTACTTTGGTGCTCTCCCCTGTCTCCAGTCCTGTTTTAATATCTTCACAATGAAGATCACAGAACAACTGAAAGGCAAAGAAAGAACTCTCTCATTTACAGGGCAGGAACAGAGTGGACATAGTCTCTGGGTTACAAAAGGAATTTGATGTTATTCTCAGGTGCACTAGGGACACCTCCTGCTAATCAAATCGCTGTGATACCTGTTGGACTTTCCCACAGTTAACAACAGAATCAGATTTCCCAGAGCCACAGCTGTTCTCCAGTTGAAATCAGACAAATGACACCTGCTACACTGTGAAGTATTTCAGCCAAAACAAAACCAATTTAAAAGAAGCAGATCTAGAATGAGTCATGTGGTGGATGCTGTCCAGCAGATTTGTTGTTTTCCAGACATTAAACTGCTTCAAACATCAGCATCACTGTTCCATATCACCCAAGACAGAAGCTACAGAGAACAAATCCCTGGCACCATGGATTCTTTAATTAAAATGCTGATAGATAACACAAATTTCAATGATGCTGTCGTTTACACGGATGGATTAGTCACTTGGGCAAGCAAAATGCATAGACTTTTACTGTGATTGTAAGGAGAAAAACCATTAAAGAAATAAGCGGTGCCTTTGCTGTTATAACCTGCAACCTCACAATGGAGACAATATCTGCAACAAGGGCAGTATCATGGCTGGGTACTCGAGAAATCACACGTGCTTGCATACTGAGCGATTCAGTGACTATGCTCAAAAAAATCCAGGCCAGCTTCATCAGACATGCAATGAATTCTCATTAACTCTTTTGAGTCCCAGGGGTTTAGCATCACAGGCCCAGGGGGTAGTAAGGAAAGTAATAAAATCAGCACATCTTTCATTCTTTGGGCTTCTAGGTAGGAACCTACTCAGAGTTAAATGCATCACAAATAACATTGCAGGTGTTCAAGGCAGTGAGCGTGCAGATTATCTGGCAGACAAGTTGGTTACCACAACTGGCCTCACATTGAACAGGAATTCGTGCAATGTGAGCTGCATATTGCAGAGAAGACCATGACAACAAGCAGGTCTCAATAACCTTGTCCAGGTTGGCAGACATAAGGGTGCAACCTTGAGCAGCCAGACCACCACCAACATTTATAGACATGGTACATGATACGTGATCAGAGAGAGCATCACTTTCTTTGTCCACAAACAAGAATGTCAGGATGGTCAAGTTTCAGCTGATTGCTGGAGTCAACAAAACAAATGATTAGAAGATTCCTGATTACCCTACACAGTGCTAGTGATACAAACTGTACAGACAAGCCATAGTGAGCTGGGTATCCAAGGTCGGAGCAGCTGAAGATCTCTAGCTTCCCTGTTTCACTGTTACAAGAAACATTTGTTGATAATGTTTACTACTCAAGTAAAGATGCAGTCAAGCAGCTTGTGTAGTTATATAAAAGAAGAAGTCAAAATCATCTGGATGCTGAAACAACTGCTACATGGATTTGTTCTGTCCAGAATACATCAGGTACCGGGAGCTGTGTCTGAAGGATGAAACTGAACATCAGCATCTATTATAATCCTCAAAATTGAAAGAAACAGTCAATTTACAGGAAGACAAGTCAGCATATCTGTAGGTGTACTTTATGCAGTGTGTGTATTACAAGTGATAATGAATGAGTAGTGCAGTAATAACCATAAGATCCCAGTGTTATAGAGGTTTGATGCTGAAGATCCATTGAGAATTCTGTCTGAAGCTGACCCATGGAAGATGTGTAACAATAGGAATAAACTCACAAGGAGCAAGTACAGCAGGGATCTACCAGTCATCGGTAGAAATTATCCTCGTCAACGAGCGTTTCGGCCCACGATTCCTAGACGCTTTCGGAGGTGGGCCCACCTGAGTTCATGAAGCTCAGGGCTGGTTCCCTGCTGCACGAAATTACCGGATGGTGTTTTTCTTTCGGATAGAGACAAGACGACTTGGTGGTTTGCAGAAGGTACTGTGAGTTAAGAAATCGTCGCGACAGCCTAATTAAAACAGTCAGCGTGCCTGGATGACCGAGCGACAAGCTTACGTTTGGTTTACCGGACACATGTTGGACTTTTGTTAGCAGGTGGCAGAGGAACACTGGCAGACAATTCGGACACGATGGACTTTCAAGGGGTGAGAAACCCTTTTCCACTAGAGACCCGGACCAGCTCACCGAGGCCCGTCCCCTACGTTGTTGCGTTGCGTCCAAAGCCAACTCGAGGCCCTTTTGGCTGCCTCGCCCAGTTTTTTGAGTGTTCGTTTCCGTTCATTACCGCGCAATCCTAGTTCTTTCACCACATTGTACAGTGAAGTGGAAACGAGGCCTCTCGCTCCCACTTCGACGGCAAAGACCCGTACTGTGTACGCCTCGTTTCTCCTCAGACCGGCTGCTAAATCACTGTATTTCTCGAGCTTATACAGGTGATTTTCATCCATAAGCGACTCATACGGGACGGTGAGCTCAATCAGGATGAGCTGTCGTTTCTCAGCAGAGTGGAGGACTATGTCAGGTCGCAGACCGGTCTTCCGGATCAACTCAGGGTACCTATCATGGCGGGGCAGATCAACCGCCAGTAACCAGTCCCTCGCAGAGTCTAGCACAGATAGAGCGAATGCGTTTCGGTTGACCTTACCTTTTTGAACCTGCCCAGCCTTGAGGAAGCGTATGGGGACGATAGTAGAACTGGCTCTGGCATTAGCCCTCATTCTAGCCTGGTCGACAACGGCTGCTAACTCTTTTAGCACCTTGTTGTGTCGCCAGGTATATCGGCCTTGGCCTAGGGCTTTCCTGCACGCGGACAGAACGTGTTCTAGCGTCTGCTTCGCTTTACACAACGGGTAAATCGGATCGTTGGTCGCAGATCACTTAACCATGTTAACACCGGACGGTAATACATCGTACGCCGAACGAACGATAAAGCTCAGTCGCAGCGGGGTCATCCGCCAGATCTCACCCCATGTGAGTACTCTTGGCAATGCGCTCTCCAGGCTGACCCAATGGCCCTGCTGCGACTGCTGGGCTGCTTTCTGAAACCGAACCTCGTTTTCGTTGTCCCTCACCATTTGTATTACCATGTCTCGGCGCTCTTTGGCTGAGGCCTTTGACCACCAATTGACCTTCCCGTGCCCTAGGCCTCGACGGTCGGTTTGAGTGTATCCCATTATCTCCTTCAATTTTAGTGCATTCTGGGCAGATTCTATCGCATCGAGGACCCTCCACTTCTGGCCAGTCTTTAGAGCGGGCTGGACAGC